TGCATACCTACCTTATCTCTTAAGATAATCTAATTAAAGAAAACTAGCTAGGCTATATCTCTGGTGCTCGAAAAAAACAACAGGGATCCATTGATTAAAAAACAATAATCAAAGGTGGGGCCGGACAACTAAACCACCAAGCCATGTCTCTTTTTTCCACATCCTTTCGCTGTGGAAGATTATGTGTAGATTTCTGATTCCTTTTGTTGCGACTTAAATTTGATCATGTATGATGATTCTTTGTTTTCCTTTTTTAAAGTGGGCAGTGATGATTCAAAGCGCAAAGAGAAAATAAATTGGTGTAAATTTGACTTAGTAATGCCATCATGACCATCAAAGCTAAGACTTAATCTGCGCTGTGGGGATTACTGATGGGATCGATGGGGTTTGAGCACGGCTATCTCCCGCTTGAAATCAATTCAGCAGCATTTCCGTCTACATGCATGAACACGATTTTGCTTCATTTCATCAATTAATAAATATCAAGATCTTTATAGCTACTTATTTCATCAATTATCGTGCATATCACATCTAGGGTTTCTTTTTTTTTAGATTAATGTGGGTGTCCGGGCCAGCTTACGCGCACCACGACTAATCCCACGGGTCCTGAAGTTAACGACCATATAAGCCTCCAGTGACCATCATATGAGCAACCAAGGACTCGAATCTGAGACCACAGAAGAAGCAAACCCCTTAATCCTAAATTCTTACCACTTGACCACCACCTAGATAGTTGGATTTCTTTTTCTTCCTTGAGAAGCGTCGTCGTGCATATCACATCTAGGGTTTCTTTTTCTTCCTTGAGAAGCGTCATACGTTCAAGGGATTTGTGTGACAGAGAGCACTGCCCTTTTCTTATGTTTACAAGTAGAGAAATATTCTTGGATCAACCTTTACTCCATGGGACCAGATTATACATGTCTAACCTTTGATCTGTTCTGAGGGACAAGCTTTTTAAATTCACTAACAATCCACGCGAAAGACAGAGAAGAGCTTTCCAAGGAAGAGAATCGAACCCTAATCTGATGCGTCAGATACAATCTTCTTATGACTTTGATACCGTTTAGTATTAATAAGCTTGCGTCAGAGCCAATCTTCTTATCTCTTTGATGCCGTTCAGGATTAATGTATTAGCTTTTGTTTCTTATTTGTTTAGTTAATTAGAAAGATCCTGCTTTTTTCAATATATTTTTTTTATAATTGCATTTCAAATCTTGTTTTTACAAAAATTAAAGCCTACTTTTTATTTGTTTACATACAAAATTTTATTTCATAACAATTCTAACAAAATAAATATTTTTTAAACCACAACTAAAATATTTTTCTTGAACCTATTTTTTTTTAATCATAATAAAAAAAGCTACTATTACAATGAATACACACCTTTAACCTTGCAAGGTTAGAACGTTTTATGAGATATATTAGTTAGGTTAGATCACATAAAGGTAATTAATGTAAGATAAAAAAAAATAATATTGAATTGAGTTGACTATTTCTATAAAATCAAACAATTATTATTTTCTCTTCATACAATAGTTTTCTTCTGCTGCGGCTGCTGTTTTTTGCGAGGAGCTAGCTCCTCGTGACTATGAGACTTATTGGTATTTTATCAAAGAAAACTCATTCATCATTATTCAATTGGAAGAGAGTATAATATTATCAAAACCGGATTGGACCAATAAGTTCAAAATGGTAACCAGTTCTTGGAAAATAATTTCCACCCTTATATCCTTGTTACCAATAAAAATTAGGGTTCTTGAATGCCTAATCAAGATTAAAAAAAAATTGGAATTATAGTGCAGGTCTTGAATGCCTAATCAAGATTAAAAAAAAGTTTGGAATTATAGTGCAGGGTAATTTTTAAAATAAATTTTTATTTGAAAATATATTAAAATAATTTCTTTTCAGATTTTTTTAATTTTAATATCATAGCATCATAACTATTAGAAAAAACTAAAAAAAATATTAATTTAATGTTTTTTCAAGTAAAAAAATACTTTTAAAAAACAATTAGAAGCATAAGCAAAAGTAATTTCAAACACCCCCTAAATCATGGTTTTATGCAGCAGTTCATACCAATGGATCAAATGTTAGAAAAGAAAAGAAAAAAAGGTTGAAGGTTGGTGTATAAATGATGCTTATAATCCTACCCCATTTTTCCCCAGACTCAAAAAATCAAAACTCACCCATGTCTGCTTACAGGAAACCTGTGAAATCCAAACATGTGAACATTCCATTATCAATATTGCCATTATCGTGATTGACATCATTGTTTTTCATGCAAATTTCAACTTTTAAAGAAACTATAAAGTTGGGAAGACAATGTTTTTGTGGTTTGACATTTTTCAGTTAGGTGATTGTCTTTTTGCTAGTACATAGAAAAATCTCATAAATAGAAGAACACTGTAGAAAATTTTCTACCCCGAGAAACTGCTGAACTTTCTGCAAAAACATAATGCAAATACATAAATACTAGGTAATATATATAGTATGAACTTGAGAAAATTCGTTTGTTTTAGTTGATATCCAAGTTTGGTTTCTCTATTGACATTGACAATCGATTTGTATGAAAACCCAACATCCACGCAAGTCAACCAGTATATCTTGCTCTGTTCATGAAAATATTTTTGGTGACATAGCCTATGTAATCTTACTACGGTAGTAATTTCTAATAAAACAAGAAGAGATCAATCTGTTCATGAAAATATTTTTGGTTTCATAGCCTATGTAATCTTACTACGGTAGTAATTTCTAATAAAACAAGAAGAGATCAATCTGTTCATGAAAATATTTTTGGTTTCATAGCCTATGTAATCTTACTACGGTAGTAATTTCTAATAAAACAAGAAGAGATCAATCTGTTCATGAAAATATTTTTGATGTCATCATAAGATTTGTAATCTAACCATAGTAGTAACTTCTGACAAGACAAGAAGAGATCAATTCGAATTTTTGGTGCAATAAACCAAAGATTTAAAATATTAAGATATTTTCAGATAAGGTGTTCGCTATCCATACATGAATGTGTATGCTTGTAAGAAAAAAAAAACTTTTGCTTAATTTTCTCTTTAAATATAAAATGATAACGTGAAAACAAAATCCAATTCTCAACGTAGTAAAGTTACAAAGTTGAATAAAAGACTTCTATATCTAAGTTATAAAACATTATCTAGCTTAACGATTTAACTAGAAGATTCATCAATTCAGGATTTAATTTAAATTTTACCATTAAAAAAATTGTTTTTTTTTAAATAATGTCTTTTGAATTTTTTTTTTTAAATGGAATTAATCTTCATAACTCACTCGACTTGTGGTCAGCTCTTGGATCGTCAAATCAACCCCGAGTCAGGTCTTATAAGTGTGCTTCCATTGCTACAAGATTTGTTGTTTCAATGAATAGTAGCAGGCCGTCGACCAGCACAAGGATACTAACCCAGTGTAGATCTGTTTACTTAATTATAATACTTAATTATAATTAATTACTTCAATATCAAGAGTAGATCTGTCAAAAAAAAATGATGATGGGCTGAATAAGGCCAACTCCCAATTCATGTTATGAACAGGTTACATAAAGTTATATACTCATTCTACATATAAATTGTATTACAATTATCAATATCATTATAAATTATATTATAACTATAATTATAAAACAAACTAAAAGATTTGGATTTATTACTATAGATTTACCATGCTATACTGTACTTATATTTTATTGTTTTGACATGTCATAAACATATAAAATAACAAGTATATGATAATAGGTGATTCTGAATAGTTATATATGAATTTATGTTAATTAGATAAGAGTTTCTCTCAAATAAATATAAATGATCTAACTAATATATTTATGAACCAGTGGAATATGTTAAATCCAAGAAGAGGTTTTGTCATGCCAAGCAAAACTGATAAATAAAAAATACCATGACTTGAATACTAGATCAAGTTCAAAATTTTTACAGAAATTTATGGAAGTTATTTTCTCTATAATAGCTATTATATTGCTATGCAAACCATCGGATTTTTAGATATAAAAAATCTCGATGAGATGTTTTTTTTGATAAATTTGTTATTTTTCTTTTTAGTTTTTGATCTCATAATTTATTTTGGATTTTATATTTATTTTCTTTGTAATTTTTAGATTTTTATTTTATTTTCTAATTGAGATAAGGTTTATAATCTATTTAAGATTTTGTAAAGAAAGCAGATTTTATTATCATTATTTTTAGAAAAAATAAACCAGTAAATTTAGAATTTATTTCTATAGTTCATTTTGCACGTAAAATTTCTGTGTTATTTGTTCGCAGCTGTTTTGAGTCTGCGTCTGCTTCACAATTCATCAACAAAGTATATTGAGATTGAATAAAATGATTGGTTTGATTTATAAGGACCGAGATCCAATAAAAATAAAATAAAATTAGACTATTAGCCTCAACAACACATTCTATACTCGATGTCATCTAATCAAATTTATCTTTCGTTTCTTTAACTCAAAAGATTTAATTAAGTTTTGCATGGCGAAGACGAACCTTTCCTAGAAACAAGCTGCATGTGAACATCTTGTTTTATAACTGCATAAATGCTGGACCAGTTGATATCAGATTCCAATTTCAGAATACCTAAAGAAAGTGCACATCGCACTGTTCATGTATGTTGGAGAAATAATTGTATAGACTAAGCATTAAGATGAGCTCAGCAAGTTTGAAATTGAAGATTAGAAGAGGTCATGGTCATGTTAACGTGTTTGAGTAAACCTCAATCCTTCTATTTCTGCATTAAAACACGCATTCTTTCATTATCACAAGCCTACCTTCACTGAGAAACTCCACCCTGCCGGCCCGCGAACGCACAAGGCGACACCAAGTGCCGCGACATAATTGTTGTCTTTCAAAAAACAGTGACCAATTTAGTTGAAAAAAATATGTGCTTAGACCAGATAAACGGAAATGTGAGGTCCCTTGTCACCTCAAAAGTCTTCCATTGCATAAAACATTGAAAAACGTTGGTGTGGAAGGACATAAAGAAACGGTTTCCTAAGAATTTATGTACCTGAGAGAAGTCCTGATGATCACTTCACCTACCCCTTAAAAATCCTGATTCTTGAACCAAAACATCAGCGTGAAATTTTGATTTTCCTGATGAGATCAAGATTTGGAGTTCATCATGCAATCATTCTCCTCTTTAGCATTAATGGCTTTGTTAATGGAGGAGAGAATGAAACAGACCAAGAAGCCTTGCTTGAATTCAAGACCAAGATCACCAGTGACCCTCTTGGCATCATGAACTTATGGAATACATCAGTTCAGTTTTGCCAGTGGTATGGTGTCAAATGTAGCCCTAAGCACCAAAGGGTTACTGTTTTGGACCTTAACTCACAGCTCCTCCAGGGGTCCATATCACCACAGCTTGGAAATCTCAGCTTTCTACAAGTCTTACATCTCTATAACAACAGCTTCAGCAGTGAAATTCCCCCGGATTTAGGCCGGTTGCGCAGGCTAAAGATGCTGCGGTTGCATAATAATTTGCTCAGTGGAGAAATTCCTCCCAATATTTCAAGTTGCTTGAACCTTATCACCATCACACTTGGTCGCAACAACTTGATAGGCAGGATTCCAATGGAATTCAGTTCTTTATTGAACCTTCAATTACTGAAGGCAGAGTTCAATAATCTGACAGGAGGAATCCCTTCATTTTTTGGCAATTATTCATCTCTACAAGTGCTGAGCACAACCTTCAACAATTTTGGTGGAACACTCCCAGACACTCTTGGTCAACTAAAGAACTTGTATTACATTTCAATGGGTGCGAACTTCTTGACCGGTACCATCCCTTCATCACTATACAATCTTTCTTTTTTGAGTATTTTTTGCTTCCCACAAAACCAGCTTCAAGGGACTCTTCCCTCAGACCTGGGCAACAAATTTCCTTACCTTGTAGAGCTTAATGTTGGTGACAACCAATTTACTGGAAGCATTCCAGTTTCGTTGTCCAATTCTTCATACCTGGAGAGACTTACTATCGCGATAAATGGATTTACCGGAAACGTGCCTTCGTTGGAGAAGATGCATAAACTTTGGTGGCTAAGCATCTCCACAAATCAACTTGGAACTGGAGAAGCTCGTGATTTGGATTTCTTGTCTACCGTTAGCAACGCAACTAGTTTGCAGCTTATGGCTATAAACGTCAACAATTTTGGCGGGATGTTGCCTAGTGCCATCACCAACTTTACCAGCCTTAGCATAATGACCCTGGATTCTAATCGGATATTTGGGAGCATCCCAGCTGGTTTGGGAAATTTGGTTAACTTGGAGATGCTATATATGGGGAAAAACCAATTCACAGGTAATATTCCTGAAGAAATTGGAAAACTTCAGCAACTAAAGAAGTTGGGTCTTCAAGGAAACAAATTCTCAGGTAACATTCCATCTTCTTTCGGAAACTTAACCCTGTTGACCCATCTCTACATGTATCAAAGCAGTTTAAAGGGTAGCATCCCACCAGAACTAGGCAAATGCCAAAACTTGTTGTTATTGAATCTCAGTCAAAACAACCTTACTGGTGCAATCCCAAAAGAAGTTTTGAGCATCCCATCCTTGACAATCTATATGGACCTATCACGAAACAACTTGATAGGTTCCCTTCCTACAGAAGTAGGAACTTTGACAAATCTTGGAAAATTGGATATTTCGCATAACATGTTGTCTGGAGAAATTCCAGGCACTCTTGGCAGTTGTGTTAGATTGGAATTTTTGTTCCAGGCACTCTTGGCAGTTGTGTTAGATTGGAATTTTTGTTCATGCAAAACAACTTCTTTCAGGGTACTATCCCCTCATCTTTTATTTCAATGAGAGGTCTACGAGTTTTAAATCTGTCACACAACAACTTGACTGGAAACATTCCAGATTTTTTCTTGGATTTTCGCACGTTGGCTACCTTGAATCTGTCTTTCAATAATTTTGAGGGTTTGGTACCGACAGATGGACTGTTTCGGAATTCGAGTGCAGTTTCAGTGGTTGGAAACAGTAAGCTATGTGGCGGCATTGCTGAGTTCCAGCTACTCGAATGCAATTTCAAAGGGACTAAAAAGGGGAGATTGACACTTGCAATGAAACTAGTCATTGCTGCTTCTGCACTTCTGTGTGCAGCATTGGTCCTAACTTCTCTGTTTCTCTTGTTCGTTAAGAGGAAAAAGGTAGAACCCACACCAACCTCTCCCGAGAACTCAGTTCTCGAAATGTCTTACCGTAGTCTGCTCAAAGCCACTGATGGGTTCTCCTTGACTAATTTGCTTGGTGTGGGTGGTTTTGGGTCTGTCTTCAAAGGCATACTTGATAATGATGAAAAGCTCGTTGCAGTGAAGGTGCTAAACCTTCTAAACCCTAGAGCTTCCAAGAGCTTTAAAGCCGAATGTGAGGTCTTGCGGAATGTCAGGCATCGAAATCTTGTCAAGCTACTGACTGCATGCTCTGGTAGTGACTATCAAGGAAATGATTTCAAGGCTTTGGTTTATGAATTCATGGTTAATGGGAGCCTTGAGGAGTGGCTGCATCCGATAGTTCCTGGAATCGATAAGGCAAGTGAATCATCTAGGAGCTTGAACTTTGTTCAGAGACTTAACATTGCCATTGATATTTCTTGTGCTCTGGAGTATCTTCACCGTGGTTGCAGAACACCAATCGTTCACTGTGATCTCAAGCCAAGCAATGTTCTTCTCGACGATGACATGACAGGACATGTAGGAGATTTTGGGCTGGCAAGGTTCTTTCCTGAAGCCACTAATAACCTATCCTTTAATCGGTCAAGCACCAATGGAGTAAGAGGAACTATTGGCTACACTGCTCCAGGTATATGCAACATCCTGCTCCTCTAGCAGCATACCGATTTACTTCTTTTAAACTATTGTGAGTTGTGACTAGTTATGCTATGTGCAATTGCAGAATATGGTATGGGAAATGAAGTGTCGACATCTGGTGATGTATTCAGTTATGGAATCCTGTTATTGGAGATGTTCTCAGGGAAGAGACCGACTGACGAAATCTTTGAAGACAGCTTGAACCTTCATACCTCCATGAAAGCTGCTTTGCCGGGAAAAGTGGAAGAAATTTTGGATCCAATTCTTGTTCAGGAAATAAAAGGAGACACGAGCAGCAGTTATATGTGGAAAAGCAAAGTGCAGGACTGCGTCGTTCCAGTATTTGAAGTAGGAATTGCTTGCTCTGCTGAATTGCCTAGCGAACGGATGGATATAAGTCAGGTTACCGCTGAGCTACAGGCGATTAAAGAAAAACTTCTTATAAGTGAAGACATGGGGACACATGAAGTACAGGTAGTCTTGCAGTCATGAAAATCATATAACAAGAAATTGTCATCGGTGGAATATTATTTGTTTTTTTTATTATTTTATTTAGTTTAGAAGATTTGCAGAGTAATTTTTTTTTAAAGTAAATTTTAAAAAAATAAATTCTAAAAAAATAAATCATTTTTAATATTTAATAGTATAATATAAAAATCAAAATTAATATAAAAATTAAGTTATAAAGAATTAAATTGAAAAAAAAAGTTAACACAAAATATATATAGGAATAAAAAATTTAAAAATCAAATTTGATATAATTATAAAATAATATAATATTTATAAATTTTTCATAGTTTTAAAAAAATATTTTTCATTCAAAATTAAAAAAAAAAACATTTTCTATTAACTAATTTTTTAATAATAAATAAATATAAAAAAATTATAAATTTTTTTCCAACAAAGCCTAAGCCTAGAACTCTATAATTAGTGATTGCATTTAGTTTCCTTTTTCACGGTTCACCTAGCACTAACATCACCAGTTTTGTCAACCAGAGGCCTTCTAGCATAGGATTCTCCTGGCTGCCAGCTACAACAGTATTTTGTCCTTGTTGATTTGTCATTTCACTATAAATAAATAAATAAATAAAAGGAAAGATTTTGACAGGCGAAGTTCCCAAAGGTGGAGGCAAGTAATCAGTAGCTCTCAACCACCACAGCAGAAAAAACTTTAAAAAATATTCCATCTGCCCTGAAGCACCCATTGATAAAGGGAATCAAAGTGCTTTTTTGAGAATCAAACTCCATCCCGATCCCAAACCTTGGTGATGTTGGTGCATCCAAAATTCAATGATTCAGATCTTATTCCTTCATTGTTTTCAAGTGCATCCAAAATACTTTTTGGTAAAGAAATAGAGACGAAAATCTGATGTTAAATTCCAGATTCTGGCCACCATAACCTGGCTTTCATTCTTTTCCTGATTTAGGAAATATCTGTCCATCACACATCTGTGGCTTCAAGTCCATCATTCAAGACAGTTTACAAATCTTGATGAAGTTTTTTATTCAAGAAGTACAGTTATAAGACAAACATAATAAGTTTCGATGATTCTACAGCGAGGATAAGAGATGGATACACAACGATAAAGAATGCTCAAACTTACCCTTTAAGAAAGAAAAGGACACAAAAATGAAAGAAACATGAAAAAGTGAATTGAAAAAATATACTTTACAAAAAGAGGATGATGTAATTTTCTCTTTCCTCATTTTCTATGAACCCGAATGTCATCTTCTCTTTGCTCATTGTGTCTATCTCTCTTCTATGTTATAACTATTAGTAGTTATTGCTTGAGCATTATATAATTTTTCAAACATCAGTCCGTAGAAAATCTAGAAGAGCATGATGTGGAGACGAGGTGCAGGAAACGATGGCAAACAGCTCACATGGTGGGAGCAACTTGATTGAAGAATCACAAATTGTAAGTCATGAATCATGAATGTCGTAATATAAATGCTTTCAAAGAGTCATTCATGAAAATCCACATATCAGCCTAAAGGGCAAGCCTACAAGGAGTGCACTTCCAAGTCAACCAATTCCTATGCTAGCATTGTCCAAATGAGATAGAACAACAAAAATTAACTGTAATAGCACTCAAAGCTAAAGCATCTTCTCCTATTAAAATGGATCAAGGAAAGCATGAATCATATATTGACGAGATATTTAACAATGAAGAATTCTCTTACATCAGAAAATAAGACAAGCTAAATGAGCCAAAATCTTATCGCTGTCAATATTTCTAGTAAACTCAAAGGCATTGTTAACTTCTAAAACCAGCAATAAAAGACATTATCATTCATTAATCCCCCCACACAAACATCCATGCCATTTTCAGAATACAAGTGAATAATTTAATTCCTGCTAGACCTCTAATTGCTCTTCATATCAAAGAATTGTACACATATCTAGCAACTACATGGTTTCTACAGCCCACTAACTGAATAAATGAGAGTGAAAATGAATATAATATGACAATGTATACCTCAAAGTATTATCTACGATTTCATCAAGGAAGGCCCATCTTCGCTTTCATCGTAGTGTCTGGGGCTCCTCAAGATTGCTTTGCATTTAAACAGCTTATGAAATTCGATCTCATTGAGAAAATTCAGACAATGTCTGAAAAAGTTTTGAAGAAGTTCCTTTGCTCATAAAAAATTCCTGAAATAGTCTCAGGTCCCTGTGGATACAAATATGTACAGTGCAAGAGCTGGCCGGTAACCAAAGGCGGGGCGATGCTTGAATTAATTACCTTTCAGCTAACCAACCTAAAGTAAATTAGATCAGGAAAATCACACCACTGCAGAGGTTGTCCGTCGAAGATCAGCAACACCATTTTTGAATTTGTCCCTTTCAGCTAACCAACACAAAGTAAATTAGATCAGGAAAATCACACCACTGCAGAGGTTGTCCGTCGAAGATCAGCAACACCATTGTTGAATTTGTCACTAAGCTGCCTGCCTTTGAAACTTGCATATCTTCCTGGCTTTGGCAGAAATAGCGAGCTCAGCATTTGCTCCAAAGCCTGCACAGAGTATTTTGCATATTTATTTGAGCTTCCATCTTGCTCAACCAAAGGACCATAGTTCTGCATATAGCTCCGATAAATAGGCACGACTGCCTGCACAATTTGTTGGCATATCTTCTCCCTGAGATCTCTATCTGGCATAACCCAGCTAGACTGCTTCTTATACATTTCATCGAAAGCTTCGTTGAAAGTTTTCAGCCTTTTCTTGACAAGATCACGGGCAGTGGCACGCCCTCCTGAGAAAAGAATTAGGCCTTCCCGACTTAAATGACCTGGAAGCTTCCCCCAACTATCTCTCAAGAAGATTGCAGCGTAGTAGTCCTTGTACTGTTCATGTTCTTTGAACCAAGAATCTCCTAAGAGATCCCCAACTTTTGTTCCCTTCAAGTGCTTGTACAAATGGTAGTGATTGTTCATGGCAAAAAGGTTAGCTAGGATTGTATCTTCGTAAGCCTTTGTCCATGTCTCCAGGTTGAGCTCAATGGCTTTAATTATGTTCAGAACCTCACCAACAAGAATCCTTTCCTGAAACTTCTCATGCTTCCAACTTCGATGAATGACCAGAACCTGGCTCAGGATAGGTTTATAATTATCCCCAAGCAGTTTATTACAGTACTCAGTAATGATGCTAACCAGTATTGGAACATTCCCATCTGGAGGAGGTGGAATCTGCCTCCGCAACTCCACCTGAACAAGAAGTTCCCAGAAAATCTCAGCTGCCCCATCAATCACCCTCCTAATGAGATCCCTTGTAAGGTTTTGGATTTCAATGCAGGCTGCTCCGCCAAAAAGCCTGTTAAAATCCAACCTTAATTTGTTCAGAGATGCAAATATATCCAACAATTTCAGAAGCTTGATTGGATCTTTCTTACTTTCTGTAACAGTCTTCCCAAATTGAAGGAATGCGAGAATGCCTGCCTGAGCAGCTATTTTGGAAAAGCATCCCATCCAAACATCCAACCCAATCCTCTCAAAAACATCGTTACAAAGCTTGTATTCTGCTTCAAACAGGTACTTCACTGCAAACTCCAAATGCTTGCCCCACTGAGCTATATACCCTTCTATGCTCTGCACATCATTGAATTCAGCTATTGAGATCTCAAGGTAATCCAAATCCAGCGCCTGCAGACTAGCTCTAACATTCGAACTACGAACTTCAACATATATTGATATGCACTTTTCAAGTCTATTATTAGTTCTCAACCTCCCAATAATGGCTTGCAACTTGTGAATAACAGACACAGGTAATTGTGATGGTGCAATGACTGCTTGTTTACCAAGTGTTGAAGATGATGGCATTGGCAGTGGCACACTATGTTCTGTCAAAAGCCGCCAAAACTCACCTTCCAATTTATCCAATGCAGCATTTAAAAGCCCACCATCAAGATGAGCTCTTTCATCATCACTTTGCAATTCCCTAAGACCCTTCAATGACTTCTTCAAATTAAAAAGTTGCCGCTCACCTGCCATAACATTATCCTCCAAATACTCCACTATATCCTCCAACCACTGAATGGCCAATCCACAATTATCCCCCAGAAATCTCAAAGCCTCCTCAAGTCGCTTTATCACTGACAAATACCCAGGAAGATCATTCCTCGGATCTGATAGCAACGACTTCTCCAACCCATGAACAGCATCAAAAACCTTAAGCACAGCAGCTGCAGGGCCAATAGCACGGTTAATGTGGCCCCCAGCAGCTACAAGCGCTTCCTTGTCAGCACGAATGGGGCGCACTGCCGCCTCTAGAGAAGGCAATCTTTGTTTCATCTCATCTAATATAGGTCCAGCTTTCTTAAGAGCAAGCCCTAACGATTTCGACTTCTCTAAACTTAATTTCAATGACTTCCTTGCAGCAATCAAATTCTCAACCCTATCATCGCCTTTACCGTCACTCTTCACCGATTCAGCCATTACAACCCTAAACTCTCTAATCACACAACAAACCCCCCAAAAACCAAAGATTTTAGCTTCTGACTCTCACAAATCAAGCTGAAAAGGCTATATTAAATCAAAGTTTTGAGCTTTTGGATCTCCCTGCTTAAAAAAGCTAAAATCAGCGATCAAGATTTGATCTTTTTTTTTATCTTGTGATACTGGGTTCCTCAGATAGTTAATTATTACTAACCAGGACTCATATAACAACAAATCTTCATGTCTACAATCTTTAACCAAACCTCACCAAATTCAGACCAAACTAAAAACTAACAAAGCAATCATCACAAGTAACAAACCAACCCTACTGAAGTTTTTTTTTTTTAAGGTAGATAGGAGAACTTAAGAGTGCAAGAAACTCACTTGATGAGATTTGCTTGGTTTTTTAAGCTTTGAAAGAGCGAGTTGACCCGGTGAGTCAGTGAATCTGATGAACTGGAGGGATTTTGGATTCAAAGAGAAAAGAAAACCCTAAATCTGAAGAGAGAGAGAGGGAGAAAGGGAGGGGGGGGGGCAGAGAGAGGCTTTACAGCTCCGGTTTTTGCAAGGTGTAGTAATGCTAAAGTGGAAGACAGTAAGGCAAAAAAGCTTCTCTGTACTTTCACACCCTCCCTCTCTCCCCTTCTCTGTTTGGACGACCTGTCGGTTACAGCCTGTCCGGTTAGGTCACATGTTTCCTTTTTTTATGCGCATAGTAAGGTCCTAACGTTAGGATTCTCATGGTTACATGAATGATCGATGGCGTTTCATTATTTTTATTTTTATTTTTATTTTAAAGTATAAAAATATACTTTAAAAGGATTTTAGAGATAAATTTATTTATATTTAAATTTTTTTATTTCAAACATTTTTTCTTACAATACCTTTTATTTTAAAGTATAAAAATTCATTCCATAATTATTTGATACTATATAGGTTTTATAGGTTTTGAAATACAATTTGACTAAGTATGTAGAATTAGTTGATGAAATAAAGCTCAATTATTTTAATTTCATGAATTATAATGAGATGTTATTAAATAATAATTATTTTTATTTTTATATTTTTTTACTGGTTATAGTCAACTAAGCACAATTTCCAACGGCGCTATGATTCACGTTGCCACATGATTTGATTTGACATGGAAATGGATGCATGAATTTCTTGATCAAGATTAGCCCATGAAGGCAAAACTAAGGTTATAGAATATTATACTCTCTAATTAAGGAGGTGAAGCTTGACTTTGCTTGGAACTTTAATTTAGGAAAGAAATTTTAGATAAATGAAAACTAAATAAAATTAATTGATTACCTTATTTTTTAATAAATGATAAAACAATAGTTAACAATAAATAAAAAACTAAACAAAAATATTAAGCAATTGATACAGATAAAAAAAACATGACATGCTGTTTATTTTAATTATAAGTCAATATATTTTAAAAAAATTAAAACAAAATAACTTGTAAGCATAGTTTCTTTGTTTTTTTATTTATCTGATTTTGCTTAAATAAATTTAAACACGATTCAGTTATCTTATCTAAATTTTGCTTAAATAAATTTAAACACGATTCAATTATTTTATCCAAATTATTAAAAATATATATTTTTATGAAATGAAAGGAAAAGATAGTCCTATACTAAACTAACCTCGATAAATTTAAATTAATTTATTAAATTTATAATTATAGGTTATAGACTACGTCATAATAAACTAATTTTGGCCATCCATCTCTTCTGTTTTTGTTTTTTTTTTAATTTATCATTGGTTGGGTTTTTATTGAACTTGTTTAAGATGAAATGTAAAATTAAATTAAAAAAATATTAAATAATTAAAGACCAAATAAAAAAATTATAAAATTATATAATTATAAATCAAATAAAACAAATTCTTAGCACATAAAATGAAAAGGAAACGCATGGCAGAGGAGCAGCACATTTTGGCTCTGAGCAATGGCATGGCTTCGGCAAAAAAAATATTCAAACTACAATAACATCTATAGTGTTTCCGTGCTTGACTTGAAAGGAACAAAAAAAAAAATCATTGTTGTCTTCTATAGTGTTCTTTGAGATAGTCCACAGTAAATCCTTCATACCATTTAACTTTTTTTTTAGTTAATTGTTAATATCCAAATAGTTTAAATATATTATTTAGTGGTGTAATAAGCTTGAAAAATCACAAGAGATTTTAGAGCACAAATCGAGGTACTATTGGTAGAGGATGAGTGACCCATGTAGGCCCAAAAATAGAGTCCTTCCCTACTAAGCAATCCATTTGAGGGGCTGAGAATATATATATATATATAAAAGAGTGAACTTACTCAGTCTTTGCCAGATCTGATTATTATTATTATTATTGAATAAATAAATAAAATCAAAACAAATCAAAATTGATAAAAGTTAAATGAAAAAAATAATATTTTTCTTGTTTACCAGAAACTTAATCATTTAATATTTTTTCTTAAATTCTCGCATCTTTTTACAAATTAACCATTTTAAAAAAATATATAATAATGAAAGATATTCGAGATATGAAAAATAATTTCTATTAAAATCTTAAGATTTTTAACCGTAACTATAATTTTACTTTAAAAAATTAGACTTGATTATTGTCTCAAGTCAAAATAAATAGAGACAAGTGGGACAGATATAATATATTTCTTTATCTTTTCTATTTGAAAAAAACACAAATCTATTCCAAAATTATACAAACAAGATTATTTGAATTGACCAATGTGATATTGCACAAGTCGTTGGAGAATTTGTGTTCTCTTCATGTCTCTCTGTTGAAGAAACTAACTTATAAGATGAGGAATTGCCTGATACTGTAAATTATGTTAGGTTCAAAGCCCTCTTGGAGAAATTGGAGAATGCTCTGGCTGAGAGGCTACAGCTTCAGCCTGCAAACAATAAACTTAAGTCTGAGCTGATTGGGTCAGATAAAAGATGTTGAGTAACTGAATAGAAGATGCCTTGATTCAAGTTCCATTTAAAGGCTAATTGAAGATGTCGAGGGTGAAGTGAAACTTGAACATGTTGGGACGGACGCTGAGACAGCACCCATCTCACGCCTGGGGTAATTGGTGTCTTGTGCGCAATGCAAGAATCTTGATGATAGCAGCGCGGCGAATGAGCACAAGGAATTGCCCCAGAAGAAGATTACTAATGTTTTGCCTAAATTGTGGAACGTACAGGAGGTAGCTCAAAGCAGGGACACATTATTGGACATGGAAAGGAATGAAGTAGAGGAGTTAACACGTCGAGTAGAAACTCTTGAGAGCGCTTTACGTGAGAAAGAATCCCAATTAAATATGCTTGAAGGAGTTGAAGGTTTAGGACGTCCAAGTAACCTAGCCTCTGAAATTGTGGAAGTTAAACCTGTGGTGAGTCTTTCAATCTATCTTCTCACGTGATGAAACTTAGTTGCTTAGTGATTCCAAGATGTTTCGTAACAAATCCTGACAAAGCAGAACTACGTTTTTCCATTTTTCCCCTGCTGTGTAATTAAGATTTTCTATCTAGTTGAAACAAATAGAGCAATCTTAAAGGCTGCATCTTAAGATTTGCTTGCTTCTACGCTGGTAATAGTGTCAGGATATGTTTGTCGAAAATTTTGAGTTTGACACCCGCCAGTAATTTCTGTGTTTTTGCAGTTCTAGATGAGCAAATTATTTATGCTAATTGCAATTCAAATTTGTAGTCAATAATGATCAAGTTGCTATTGTTATAGATGAGGATGCTGTTGGCCATAAGAGGTTAGAGGATGTTTTACACTTTGATTTTTTGAGTTTTAAAGCAGTTTGATTCTTATTTCGGTTTCCTCTTCCACCTCGGTTCCTGGTTTCAAGTCGCTTACTACATCGAGAATTGTCCCAAAGTTTACAAGACCAGTGTCTGCAATGATTGATGGTCTATGGTAGGATTATCTGCTTTATTCTCTGTTTTGATGCAAGCTTTGCATTGCTTTCATACGGGGCTGGAACAAATCTTATATTTGCAATATTCCAGGGTTTCTTGTGACCGAGCACTACTGCATCGGTCTGCCTTGCGTCTTTGTATAATTTTCTTTTGGGCTATCTTGCATGCTGTTCTTGCAACTTTTTCTTCTTAAAGAGAAGAAATCTACGAGGATTAGGTTTTTCCTTAATCTGACAATGTGAACTTCTCTGGTTAGAAAGTTGGAAAGTGCTACTCATGCCCATCATTTTCCTGACAAGCAGGTTCTGGTTTGGTTTAAAGGCTAGATGAACGCAAGCTCCTTCCAGGATCAAATTGTAGAGTAGATTGATATACTCTCTATATGTGGCCAGATTGATTCATTGTTTAGCTCAACCAAGAAGCTGTGATTGCCATTTTACTGTTACAAATCGCAGATTCAGTCGATTGCATTGAACAATGAGAAATTACCTGAAACCAACAACACCATCATTTGTTTAGCTCAACCAAGAAGCTGTGATTACCATTTTACTCTTACAAATCGCAGATTCAGTCGATTGCATCCAACAAGAAGAAATTACCTGAACGCAACAACACCGTCCTCATCACAGTGTTTCTCTATGAGTTCAAGGTTATTCGTTCCTCTTTTTGAAAACTATACAAAAGCAGCAAAATTCTCTGGATGTTATCTGTAGTTTGTAGATGCTGGATCTCTTGACTCCATTTTTTTGCTAGCAAATGGGACGTATACATGTCTTCATATAATTTCAGTTGTCAATCCATTTTTGTTGCTGAGCAAGTTTCTTCTCAAGTACATTTTTTCTATGCCGAACCTAATTTTTTTTTCTATGATTATTTGGTATCGTTTTTCGGATGAGCAAATTTTTCAAGAATCCAAATATAGTTAAACCACTATAAATTAATACCCTTGAGACCATATCTAATCGAGATATTTTTTGAATTTTAGATTTAAATAGTATAAAAATAAAGGTTATTAATTTATTAAGATTATGCTGAAGTTTAGATCTAGTTTCGTGGATGTGGATAAGCATAATTTAGGGTTAGAAGATAGATTTGGAGAATCATTATTGGTATTGGCGATTAAATGTTAGATTCCTAGAAAGTGATAAATATAGTACTAAAGATAAGATACCAAAAAAATTAGCCATGGCCACAAAAAGCTCTAGATTTTTTTTCCCATTGACATGCATGGACAAGAAAATAATCTGTCTGCTCATTTACTTGTGATTTGAAAAGGAGTTGACCTGATTTTCATAATCCTTCACATTCCCTTTAGGATTATCCTGAAACCTTTGAACCCTAAAGTACTTCATTTCCACGCCCTTCGCCTCCCCACCAAGCACAAGGTCAGCCAAAACCCTGCCCACAACTGGAGCCATCTTGAACCCATGACCCGAAAACCCACCACCAATCACCACATCCTTCCCAAACTCCCCGCCGAGAAAATCAATCACAAAATCCTCATCTGGGGTCATTGAGTACATACATGACTGAGTAGCAACCGGTCCGCCATTATCAACCAAGCCAGAGAATCTCCCCTTGATCCATTCCTTCAGAGAATCTAATGAAATCCCAGCTGGACCCCATGGCCTCTTATCAGGGTCACAAGGGTACCCACCGTGCACAGAAATCTTGATCAATCCTGGAAACTCCAACGACGGTGTGCCGTAAACGTACGGCTCCCCGTAGCTTGCAAACGTAGGAAAATCACTTCCAATGGCGAACTTCGCCTCATGCCCCTCCTTGATCCTCCAATAACACACTGTAGTCTCCAAGGCTTGTATGGGCAATTCAAGCCCACCAACCGTTTTAACTAACTTTCTTACCCAAGCCCCAGCAGTAATCACACATTTTTTACCCCAAAACTTTTTACCATCGGCAGTCTCCACATTTACCCCTCCGTTTACCTCATCTTTCACAACGTTTTTCACCTCCATGTTGTCTCTCAAAACTGCACCCCTCTGGAAAGCCAATGCTTGGAACATGGACACTGCCTTGGTGGGCTTTATAACCCCGCCAACATCAGTTAACACACCAAACCAATCCTCCGGTAAGTTAATCATGCCTGAGAATCGGTCGGACACTTGTTGTCGGTCTAAGACCCGATATGGGATGGACTTTCTTTCGCAGCTAGAGATAACCGAGCGAAGGCTCTTGTTATCCGAGGGGCTCATATCGAATTGCTGTGCTTTGAAATAAACCTTGTAGCCAATCTCTGATTGAACCTGCTCCCACATTTGTGAGGATTCCTTAACCATGACACAGTAGTAGTCTTCAGGGTAAGTTGCTCGTATAGTTCGTGACTCGCCATGAGAGGATCCACGGTGGTGCAAGAAATCAAATTGCTCTAGCAACAGAGTTTTTTGGCCTCTTTTTGCTAGTTGATAGGCAGTGGAACTGCCCATAATGCCGGCACCGACAACGATAACATCAAATTGGTGGCTGGAATATTCCATCTCTAGCTACTTCTCTTGTGGCAAGAACCAAGATTCCTAGGGGAGAGGTTTCCCTTGGTTAGGTTGGATCCGAGGAGGAAGTGAGAGATGAGTTTTAAGGTGAAAATATTGCGCCATGAAATGGACCGTATGATGATTTAATATTCAAAGTACTCAACCCAACTTGTTATTTGTATTTATGCATAAAATTTCATAAAATATATGATGGTGTCATGCACGACTTTCATGCATTTTAAACGTGCATGCATATATTAATTAGTGAATTGATAAAATATAATTAATTAGATAACAAAAACAAAATTATGATACGTCAATCAATGAAATTAGCTTCTTTTTTTAATCAAATTATGGATAGATGAATTGACAATTGGGGCAAGAAATGATTCATATGATATGGGCTTCTTCTTTTTATTTATAAATGTATATTACCTTTTTATTGGTATGATATTACCTTCTTTTAATCTATTTTTGACAAAACTAGATTATTAAATCTAGCCAAACATGTATAAAATTTAACTAATTAGACCTATAAGAACTATTGTTATGGATCTCTTTAATATTTTATGCAAAATTATTAGAATCCAGTTCAAGTTCTGAGTCATAATTTAAACTAATTAATTTGAATTGATTTGGATAAATAAAAAAAATATTATTTTTTAGTGAAAAAAAAAAGTAAACACAATAATGTTTTGAAGAATTTGAACCATTTTAAATGGATGATGGGTTGACTTTCTAGGTCGATTCTGTCAAATATTATAAATTTTGGTTTGATTTTTTTTTTTTCAACCCGACTTGCCTATTAGTCTAGGCTAGGTTTATTAACTTTCATTCTATAGATTATAGATTAAATAAATATTGCTAGAAAATTTGCTCATGTTATTGCTATCTATTGAGTTAGACCAATTTTTTAAAAAATATATAAAACAAATATCCAAGTATTGCTAACATATTTTTTAATTAAAAAAAGTCATGTAAGGGGTTGACTTATTATGACTTGGTCAACTTGGCGAGTCTAATAAAAACTTGAATAGCTGAAAAAATGTAGTTTAATTAAAAAAATTGAAATAATATTTTTTTTTAATATTTAGACGACAACATATTAGATTGACAAAGGTCAATCTCGGTTAATCTTTCAAATACATGACCTGAATCATAAAAATATGATAACCTAATAAAAAATAAATCAAAATAAATTATAATTCACAATTCACAATCAATCTATTATTAAATAATAAGATTGAAAAAACTTTAATATAAAAAGGACAAAAAACAAATAACATGTGTTACCTGTCAAACTCATAACTCAGTTTATGAAATAAAAAAAAAAATTATGCTTCACAATTCTCAATCAACTCATTATTTAAGGATAGAGTTAAAAAAACAATTAAAAAAATATTTAAGTCAACTCAGGAGTTCTTAAATCCATAATTTAAGTCATAAGACTAAGATAACCTCATAAAAAACAAGTTGAAACAAATTATGAAATCTAATTCTCAATAAACTCAATGTTGAAGAAAAAATTTAAAAAATAATAATTAAAAAGAGGACTAAAAACTTGACCTATATTAATTGAGTTAACACATCAAACCCATAATTTGGATCATGAAATAAAGATAACCTCATAAAAAACAAACAAAAACAAATTATGAAGCCTAGCTTTCAATCACGCAAATATTGAAGAATAAAATTAAAAAAATCCAAATTAACAAGTTAAATAGCTAAACTCACAACATGAGTCATGATACTAGAATAACCTCATAGAAAATACATTCTTAATACAATTTATGAAGTTCAATCTTCAATAAATTTAAAATTACACAATGAAATTGAAAAAAAAAACTAAATTTAAATAAAAAAAACATATTAATGTTCTAATGATTAGTCATATCTGAGAATGGAAAATGTGAATCCCCCTCATCAATTAGTGTTATAATTAGCTTTGAATCTATACTGCGCCACGAGGTCATAACTTTTTAGTATAAAAAAAATATTCAATTGCTGCAAATATATTTTAAAGTAAGAAGAACTCAAATGATAGACTTGACTATGTTAAATAATTTGATTTTATTTTAATTAGGTGATAGAAAAAACAAGCAGCGATAACAGATGTACCAAATTAAAAAAAGAATGATCACGATAACTTGGAAAAAAATATTTTTTCTAAAGAAAACAAATAATATAGCTCAATTCTCAACCTATAAATATCAAAGGATGAAATTAGATTAAAAAAAAAGACTGGCTCGATTCAACCCAGGTTAACACGACAAACCTATTATCAGCATAATAATGGTTGAGCCAACCCTATTTAATCCCCCCAAACTAGTGACTAAGGTCATGTGATTGAGATTACCGGATGTAAAAAAAAAAATAAGCAGATACCAAAAAAAAAACAACGTCTAATGAAGAAAGCTAAAAAGAAAATTAAAAAAAATAATACCAACTCATGTTGATTTTTCAAACACGTGACAAGAGTCATTAGATTGAAAACACCCTATCCAAGAAAACCATGAAGCCTAATTCATAACAATCAAATGTTAAAGATTGAAATTGAAAATTTGCCAAAAACAACCATTTTTATAAGCTGCAAGCATTACAAAAAAGAAAAAAAAAAGTGTGCAACCACCGAAGAGGAAACAATAAAGAAAAGAGGGTCGTTGTCATTTTTCATGAAAATTGCTTGGAAAAAAAAATAGAAAGAATGTTGAATAATTAAAAAGAGAGTTTGTTGTGTTAAGGAGTTCAAGGAATTTAGAAGTTAAAGTGTGCTCTTAAAAAAGGAAAATTGAGCTCAGAAAGAAGTGTGGAGGAGAATTTAATTCAACTTGTTTTAGCTTTTGATTCTTCTTTCTTTAAGAAAAAGGTTAGAGGCTCTAAACAGCAACATGAAATTCCTAGTTGAGTACATTAATGATCATAGAAGAAATATTTTTATATGAGTGTAATGAAATTATGCATTGCATTTATTGATAATTATGTTGATAAAATGTATATTTTATTTTCAAGACCTTCACGGTAACAAAGTAAATCTATTTTTTTAATATTATATATTTTTTTATATATTTATGTTGATCAATATGTATTATGGAATTAATGAATGATGTAAAAGATATTGAATAAATCCTTTTAGTTGTAGAACATAATTTTTATATCCAATTAATGTTAATGTCATACTTATAAATGTTTTTCTGCCAAATTAAGTAATTATATTCTAAAATGTTTGCACAAATGATTAGAAATGTTAGAATGATATATAAAAAATTACCCTAAATTTTTATATTTAACTAAAAAATTATCTTAAATAAAATAATAGAGATATTACAAAAGACTAACTCAATTCAACCAAAGATAACACAACAAACCTATAACCAAGGTAATAATGGCTGAGCCAACTCAAATTAACTCCCTAGACTCCTGGCTCAAGTCATATGATCGAAATAACTCAATATAAAAAAAATACTAAGAAAATTACAAAACTTATTTTTTAAAAAAAATTAATGTCTAATGATGAAAGCCAAAAAAAAAACGAGTAAAAAAAATTATATTAACTCGCATTGACTTTTTAAATATATGACAAGAATCATGAGATTGAAAGCATCCTATCCAAGAAAACTAAAACCACAAAGCGTAATTCATAACTAATCAAATATTAAAAACTAAAATTAAAAAAAAAAATCAATTATACAAAATAATTCAAAATAAAAAAATATCAATGAGAATCAAAATTTAAATAAAAATAAATTCTATTTTTTTATTGAATAGTAAAATTGAAAAGAAAAATAATTTAACAAAAGGACTAAAAAATAAAATAAAAAAAGAATGAGTATCAAATTAAAAAAATATTACAAATTAAGATTAAATAAAAAAATCAATTATACAAAATAATTCAAAATAAAAAAATATCAATGAGAATCAAAATTTAAATAAAAATAAATTCTATTTTTTTATTGAATAGTAAAATTGAAAAGAAAAATAATTTAACAAAAGGACTAAAAAATAAAATAAAAAAAGAATGAGTATCAAATTAAAAAAATATTACAAATTAAGATTAAATAATAAAATTGAAAACATATTTAAATTTTATAAAAGAATCAAAAATAAAAATTAAAAAAATAAAAATTAAATTTAACATATTAATAAATCAAAAAACAACTCTAAAACTTTACATGGTCAGTATATTTTTTAAAAAAAAATACAAGGAAAAAAAAATAAATAACTATCATCGCACCGCTATTCTAACACCGTCACACTTCATTTTAATTAAAAAAATTGTTAACCATGTCTAGAATGATGGGTGAACTTAAAAACCTAGTGATGTAAAACTTAACTTGGATTGAGGTTTTTTTTAACCGTTTCATGTGAACGAGATTAAGTCAACAATTCAATAATAAGTTTTTAAACTAAATCAGATCTCAAATTAGACATAACACCGAAGACAATAAAAATCATTGCAGCTATGCATGAATATAAACGATGCAACATAAACACACACTTTTGGATGATCACATCTTTAAAGATTCTTATCTCTAATAAATCTTGTACTACTCATCAGGTATCTTGACAAGGCTGCAATCAATTAAAACCACAAGAATTTGCGATGCAGCCTCTGCTATGTTTAGCAAAGTGATTGGCTAAGATATGTAAATTATAATTCAGTCCCTGTAAATAAACAAATGTTTGACTTCAGCACCTACACTTTGTTTTAAAGATTCTTATCTCTAATAAATCTTGTACTACTCATCAGGTATCTTGACAAGGCTGCAATCAATTAAAACCACAAGAATTTGCGATGCAGCCTCTGCTATGTTTAGCAAAGTGATTGGCTAAGATATGTAAATTATAATTCAGTCCCTGTAAATAAACAAATGTTTGACTTCAGCACCTACACTTTGTTTTTCCTAAATCACCCAGGTTTTTTTCAAAAGATTTCAGTGAACCCGTTACCGTTAAGTAGCTGATAAAATATAAATGATTTTTTCAAAAAAGAAAAACTTATACCCCAAAGTTACTTGACAGTGGAGCAGCTTTAAAATTTTAATTTATTATTTTAATTTTATATTATGTTATAATGTATGAAAGCATC